TCATTTGTGTGTTTTTAGCTTTCTTCCTGTATGGGAAGCTTTTCAAAATTTGAAACATTAGTGCAGTGGTTTATGTTAAAATAAACCTTAAAAGTTGTCACAAGCAGGTTTTTCTTGTGTTTCTTGTGAATTTGGTCTTAAATTTTTATTTCAAGTGGTATTAAAAAGTCTTAAAAAGTCTTGAATTTAACTTGCATTATGCTGTAGGAACCCTGTCTACAGTCTGATTCTCTGTTCAATAAGAAAACAACATATATTTGTTCTTTTTAATCTGTAACTCTGAGTATGGTCCTCTGAGAAGCCCAGCTTTTTTAACCTGTATAAATGTACAATCTGTTGCCATTTTTAGCTGAAAAAGCTCTGTATGTAACAAACTGATTTTTGTGGCTTTCTCAACAGTGTGCGAAATACCTGTCAATATTTGCGGGGTCCCCATCTCCCGATTGTTGCGCAATACCAATCTAAATTTTCTCAATATGCAGTAGGCCTATACTGTAACATTTCAAAGTCAGCTTTAATGTCAATTCTTCACATTCACCAGACATACAAGGACTCGATAGGACGTTTCTAATTCACCAACAGTGAAACAGATAAAGTGCACAGGCACTAACAGATAAGATCAGTTCCTAATACTTAAATTTAAACATTCAATTTCACTATAAAATATAAAATGTACAATAATATAAAATATGCAATACTTATGCTAGTGCATAAATGCAGATGGTAATGGCAGCAGAAAAATTATTATTATTATTATTATTATTATTATTAGACTTAGACTTAGACTTCTTTATTTGTCATTTTGTATGCACAGAGTGCATACAGAACGAAATTGCGTTACATACAGCTTATGAACGTTGCATTGATATTTNACTTCTTTATTTGTCATTTTGTATGCACAGAGTGCATACAGAACGAAATTGCGTTACATACAGCTTATGAACGTTGCATTGATATTTCAAATGGCACGAGTTATACAAAAAGTGCAGCAGTGGTCAAAGTGTGAACAGTGCAGAGGATAAGAGAAAGTGTGCAAGTTGCAGTGGTTATTATTATCATTATTATTATCATTATTATTATTATTATTATTATTATTATTATTATTATTATTATTATTATTATTATTATTATTATTATTACCAATTATGTAAGATATAGCATTTTTAACAGTAACAGTGCAAAAGAACAGTAAATAAATATAATATTAATAGTAGTGCAGGAGAAAGTTTGTCCAGAGTGATTTTTTTTTTAGGGGGGCTCAGCTTCCTGACAGCTTGGTGGATGAAGCTTTCTGTGAATCTGGTGGAGCGGGCAAGAGCCTGAGCAGACCGTCAGTCTATGAAAACATACACACACGAAGACTGTCTGTCTGTCTGTCTCAATCTCTGTCTCTCTGTCTGTCTCTCTCTTTCATGCACGCATATGTCCTGCTTTAATCCAGTTTCTGACGAATGGAACTGGGTCAAATTTGTCCAGAGGAGGTCCGTTGAGGTCCACAAACAGGAGTGAAGACCTGCTGTCTTCACGCAATCTGTTCCGCGTTGACAGTGTTATTAACTGCGGAAAAGCACATGGCTAATGTGCATACGCCAACAGGATTGGCTGGCTCCACTTGGCAAAAAACAGGACATATTTTTGAATAAAGGTATTAAATTTTAATACTGGACATGTTGAGCTTAAAAACTTTTAGTTACCATTAGTGACAAAAAATATTTTTATGACACGATTTAAGAGCCCCTTTAAATTTTGCTTTTGAGGCTTTCAGGGGGTCTAATGGGTTAATCGGGGAGGTTGAGCCCCCCCAGACCCACCCGTATTTCGCACTCTGTGTATTGAGGTAAAATAAGAGATGATTGTGTTCTAAAACTTTTCTTTCACTAAATTCACAAAAAGTTATTGTCATGGTAGGGATAAAAAGGATTTTTCTTAAACACAGTTGTCCGGCTTTGGATTCGAATGCAAGATTTTGATTCCCTTTGGCATACACTGGATGACAGGTCAATAATGC